TTGATTGAGCGTTTGGGAAAGGCTTTGCTCTTTAAGGAGATGGAGGGTAGTTACACAGGAGCCACCGCGTTGCACATCGCCACGGCAAACGGAAACTTCAAAGCAATGGAAGCCATGTTCTACCATCTGGCTGATGCCGACATTCTGAAACTTCTTCGTAAATGTGCTACCGGGGAGCAGTTCAAGAGGACTTTGGTTCCCGCCGAACTTCCCTTGTCACTTGCTGTGCTGTCAGGCAATGCTCAACTGGTTCAGCTTCTCATAGAAAAAGGAGCTCCACTAGATGGCAGAGATTCGCAAGACAACACCGTTCTACACACCATCGTCCTAATGTCGCAGCACAAACTCCAAGAAGCATTGGAGATGTACGAAGTAATCCTGAACAATACCACACGCTGGTGGTGTAGAAGCAAAGGCGTGGATATGACCAGAGCGAATAGTGTCGCCACAGACATTGAAGCGAAGCATTACCTGTTCCGTTTGGCAAATAGAGAAGAATTCACTGCCTTGACTTTGGCAGCCAAGGTCGGTGTCAAGGAAATGTTTGAGAAAATTCTCAACACAAACAACATATACAGGTAAGTACATAAATTCATTTTCGCATAGCCAATTTGTATTGTTTAGAGACACTATCTGGCAGATAGCTCTGTTACAAATGCAAATTCAGTCAGACATCTGTGCTCTGCAACACGGCTAAAAGGTTGAATATATTATTGAAAAAAACTTTTTTCAGAAAGTTTATTTCAACTGTAGTGTTCATCTTTTACATGAGGACCTAGTTGTGACAAAAAAATTGATTTATTTTCAGGTTTTCACAGTGGGAATATGGCCATACAACCACAGCATTTTACGATGTTACTGAAATTGATCCAGTTCTCAGTACGTCTCGAATGTCTGCGCTGGAACTACTTGTGTACACCAATAACGAAGAACGCATAGAATGCCTTAGTATTCCGGTAATTAACCATTTGCTGCATATCAAATGGCACAACTACAGGATGTACTACATAACATGGGGTATTTTGCATCTAATTTACATGTTGATACTATCTCTTCCCGCGTTTGATCCTTTACTCTTCCAAACGCCGTCCAATGGATCTTCGATTCCAAATGCTTCGCTTCCCTACGGGAACGATTCAGCCCAAACCCATGAACCTGGATATAAGGGAAAGTTCCCGCCTGGTGTGTACCTGTTCCTTATGGTCGGCACTTTCTTATTCTTCACATACAGCCTTACTGGGGCGTTAAAATGGTCGGTGAGACACAGAGACAACGCCATATTGAATATGTGGAAGTTCCTCAGCTGGAATAAACTCCACGTCATTCTTCTTCTGTTTTCCGTTTCTATGCTGTCATTCCTGACCGATGCCGTGAAGTCGTTTCAACCTTTAGCTCTTCTTCTTGGATGGGTGTTCCTAATTTTCTTCACACGCGGCTTCAGACAGACCAGTTTCTTCTCTGCTATGATTCAGCGCATCATGCTCGGCGATTTGCTTCGATTTCTTATCATATATCTGATCCTGACGGCGGGGTTTTCCTCTGCTATAGGTGTAGCTAGGGTTAATCATTTCGCTTCCTTGACCTCTTCAGCGATTGTGTCTGATGAAATAGCCGAGTTTGATGGTTTTGGCACCACCATATGGACTTTGTTTAGACTGATGGTGGGCCTTTCAGAAATTCAGATAATACCAGGGAATATCTTCAAAGGCACCTCTGCTACTAACTTCCCGGTTATAACTTTGCCAGCGTTACTGATAACGTATGTGGTGCTTGTAAATATTCTCCTCATGAATATGCTCATCGCCACTATGACCGACACCTATACCCACATCTCAAAATACAATGATCTTATCTACAAGAAGTTGCGCACGACCGATATGATTTTTCTGGAGCGAATGTTGCCAGAAGTAATGCGCATGCTCGCTGTGGAGGCCACGTATAAGATCTGTCGAGTCATGTCGCCAACTACTCACCGTAATCTGTACCTTTTGGAGGTAGAAGTTTGCAAGAAAGAGGACTAGTATGCACGTAAAATTATCATTAAACATTTTCATTGTTTCAATATAATTGTGCATGCGTTTTCCTTCAAGAATTAAAAACAATGTAATGCGTAAAAGGGGCTAAGAGCTATGAGAACTTTTTTGCCCCTGACAGTAAAGCTGCGGCATAATTTGACCTCCAAAAGATCCTTGCGAGTTTCAGACTTCTAAGCAAGAACACCCATGCGTGGACTCACTTCAACCCACGCTCGGCTGTCACCTTGATTGGATAGTAAACGGTTGTCGTAAAATCGCTAAAAGATATTAAAACCCGGTGCATAAACTTGAAAACCACCTAGGACAACCTCAGACTGCCACATTAATCCAATACAATGCAAAAATAAACTATAACAAGTGGTTAAAGCCTTCAAACCGAATGTCGTAAAGTCCCCATATACCTCCATAGAGACAATAAAATATAGTAAGCTTCTGAAACAAACCTGACCCAGTTCCAACAGAATAATCGAAATAAAATACTGCCGGGCATCGGAGCGGCCTAAAACTTGGCACGCTTACCGCTAATACTGCAGGCTACATCATCCCGTCGCTCGTTTGTAAATTCCGTGCATGGCATACGCACAATCAAACCGTATATCCAAATTGCACCTCTGATGTTTGAATTGGTCCACTCTAACCTACCATTACGAAAAAGAAGCCATGCCATTGGACAATGCGACCTCTGCGGTTACGTCATTTCCTGAATTGGATTGTAGAGAGGACCAATTCAAACATCAGAGGTGGAATTTGGATATACGGTTTGATTGTGCGTATGCCATGCACGGAATTTACAAACGAGCGACGGGATGATGTAGCCTGCAGTATTAGCGGTAAGCGTGCCAAGTTTTAGGCCGCTCCGATGCCCGGCAGTATTTTATTTCGATTATTCTGTTGGAACTGGGTCAGGTTTGTTTCAGAAGCTTACTATATTTTATTGTCTCTATGGAGGTATATGGGGACTTTACGACATTCGGTTTGAAGGCTTTAACCACTTGTTATAGTTTATTTTTGCATTGTATTGGATTAATGTGGCAGTCTGAGGTTGTCCTAGGTGGTTTTCAAGTTTATGCACCGGGTTTTAATATCTTTTAGCGATTTTACGACAACCGTTTACTATCCAATCAAGGTGACAGCCGAGCGTGCTTCAACCCATATGGACAAAGGCTTATGAACTTCTTAACTTTATTTTGCCGGAGTTTTCTTTTTATGAGCTTGGATACGGGATACATATATGGGTTCGTGTGGGTTATTTTTAAAGTCTGATTCTAGCCCAAGCACTGCACTGCCCAAAAGCAAGTCTGGAGAGGCAAGCCCGATAACTCAATTTGGGTCGATGTGGAAATAACCCATGACCAAACAGAATAATTATTATGTGAAAGAAATGAGCGTTCTAGACGATGGTTGGACTTTTATCTTTATAATTGTATAGCAAAATATATAGGCCTACCTTTCCTTCGAATTTCAACAGTTTTCCCCTGTCGCAAATATATGCATTGCAATTGCCGATGGCAATGTTACTGTGTTTCAATTTTAACTTTTTAATTACTGGTAACAGAGACTGTTGAATTTCACTTGAAATTGTTAAAGAATAGAAATTTCTGACTCGAAGGCTAGTTTCTGTTAATGATTTTTCCTTTTTTGTTAATAGCACATAGCCGCAAAATTGAGTTCCTCATTAATACTCATTAGCTTGTTTCACATAAGTGGACATTTCCATCTCCATAGACACCATTGACCTACAGTGTACGTGGATCTATCCAAATCTGTGGAGACTCTCGCTGAGTACAATCAGCTTTACTGTAGATGAGTAGAGTATAGAAGAGCTGGTGAGTATACGAGGTTGGAAACAAGAGGAGGTGTGCCATTCAGTTAAGCTGATTGCATTCAGCGAGAATCCGTACAGAGTTGGATCGATCTACGATCTAATTACAGACTTTCATTTTTCAAAGGCATTATTTTGCTTTATCAATGATAAAACCTGAATTAAGACTTTTAAGAAAAATCGCTGGCAGGATTTTGGAGCACTAAATGGTGTCAATAAATGGGCGTTAAAACGGTGACCGTGGATGCTCAGATAAAAGAGAAATTTGGATTTTCCGATTTTACCCCAAAATCGCAAAATGACGTAACCCATAAGATGACATATGTGTAAATGTTAATTAATTTAGTCAGTTAACACTGAAAATTTATTTATTAGCCAAAAGAATGTATGTAAGCCAGCAAATAAGGAGTTTTGTGCGAAGGGTGACAATATCCTTAAATAACTTTATGCACAATACTAATAAAAAATGATGGAAAAACCTGTTAGTATTACCGTAAAATGAATAGCTTGAAAGTGAATAAAAATATTATTTCCATGATACTAGGTTGTCCAGTGTTACATATGTACAATCAAGCTCGAGAGTAGGTGTAATAAATAACGTTGAACACTCTCCCCTGTATGCTGACTGCAATCCATTGTGTTATACCCGCTTTCAAAACATAGATCACATAGGGGACCATTTATGATTCCTATAATTATTGTCGAAAGGGTATTTTGGTAAATTTTTTTTTTTTAAGTTGGCTGCAACGGCTGCACCTGACTTTTCGACGTTTACAAAAAGGACTTCATTAAAGGGATACATAAAAAAGGGTCTTATTGCCCGTGGCCAAAGATAAGGATGTATGGGTTTCTTCACACCATGTGATAAAATGAAAAGTCATGTATTGGTAGTCCTGTGGCAAAAAAATGCGCGTCTGTTGGGAAGTATTGCATTTGGGTCAGTTTCATGCCATTGAAAAATAAATAAATAAATAAATAAATAAATAAATAAATAAGGAGGTGAAAAAAATAAAAGAAAATTACATTCAGTTGAAATCGCTTTATTTGTTAATTTGAATTAATCATAACCAGCAGTCCAGCAATAGACAGATATGCTACAGCCTATCTTGTGTACGAGCGCCATCTTTCGGGCAATATTACACCAACATGTGCTAGTTGTTGTTGTCTTACACATGCTTCGAGCAAAGTGCGTTTTCTTCATACTTCGTAATTTAACCATGTCCAGTAAGAATGTTTTTGTGCCAAGAATAAATCCAGTTACGGGCGAATCGGAATGGATCCCCCAGAATGAGAATTATGATTACTACCAAGAGATAGCAAGGTAGGTGGAAATGGGTGGGTAGCAGTACAGTTGCACGGCCAGTCAAAACAGTGACACTGACCAGACTTGTTTGTCACCTTTATTTCGGTCGATGACTACAAAAACTATATTAAACGCCACTGGTACTTTTGCAGTATCCCCTTCCTCATCCTATAACTATTTGATTTTCAATATCTTGAATTCTTGATTTTCAAATTTATATTCAATAAATTTGTGTAGTTAATTCGAACAACATATCTCTGCTATTCAAATAAATTACATGTGGTTTGGAAATGTATCTATTTATAATCAAAATTATTATTATTATTATTATTATTATTATTATTATTACCTCATCTGACAGCTCTAATCACAGATACAGCCTCCAACATATACATGTTTACAACATGAATTAAGATTCATATGTTAGCACTTCTTTAGTCACAATTGCTGTTTTTAATCATAATTATTTAGTTTATGAAAATTATATAATAGTTTATACATATGAAGATAGCAAAGTACTTTAAGCGTCACGTACGTGTTCATCTTAAGGAGAACCTAAAAATATATCCAATTAACCAATAAATATCTATTCATGATGAAAAGAAAAGAAAAATATTTTACTATGATCAATACTGAAAGATATCTAATGCACATGTGTGTACTATATTATGTTTTAGAGTTTGCACAGATTATGTAAATTAGTTATTGTAAATACGAGTGCATGAAAAAATTTTTATTTAATTTGTGGAATATTTTTGACAATTCAGGTCAGCTTATGCAGACATGCTGCATGATACAGAAAGGGTGAGTTTTTACCTTTTTATATGTAAAAAAAAAAATGAAACCGCATTTTAAAACTAGTATTGAAGTATGGTGAATTTCTTGATCCATATGCTAACATAGAATAAGAATAATCCCTCATATTTTGTAATAATTCATGTATTAGGGTATAAGTATTTGTATTTTAGTATTCATTTATTGTCCTTTATATATAAATATATATACTTTAAGCATTGAAACTAAAAAACTTCACCTCTTAACCTCTGATACATTGAAGTGTCTACAGTCAGTTGTTCAAGTGAACATAAAGATCTTTTCTTTTCCTCAGAATAAGAAATATGAGTTGGCATTGAAGAAAGCTATAGACCGCATGCACTCTCAGGGAAAACCTGCTAATGTTCTTGACATAGGAACTGGGACAGGGTTACTCTCTATGATGGCTGCCAGGCATGGAGCTGATAGTATTACAGCTTGTGAGGTGAGAAAGAGAAAAAATTCTATAATCTGTACCAATTTATTAAAATAGTGAACAAGGGGGTCACGCCGTCAGGTTGACAAACCTATGAATGTACTGTTCTATGCTCTCAAAACTGTATGTATCACAGTCAATGAGAATAAAGTAAAATGTTAAAACTGAGTGTGGTGACTTATAGGTAGGTTAACCTGACCTGACACTGGCTTGTGCTAGATGTCTATACCCTGCTGGAAGACCTCATGAGAGACTCAACCAGACCAGACTCAGGATTTTTTTAGAAGTGCAATTCATGCTAGAAGAACTCATATTCAGTTTGTATTTATTTATATTCCAGGCATTCCACCCAATGGCAAAGTGTGCCAAAGAAGTGATAAAGACCAATGGCTTTGAAGAGAAGATAAATCTCATATCAAAGAGGTCCACTGAAATAACTGTGGGACCAGGTATTTTTGGACCTATTACTTGAAAGATTCAAAGCTTATAATTCCAAAGGCCCTATATATAGGATATAGGTAAACCTTTCAGTTAGAATATATGTTGGATGTAATTTTCTCTGTAGTTATGGGTATGGCACACTTTGGCAATTATAGTAATAGTTATGAAATTTCAGAAAAAATAAATTTGCTTTACATACTTTTCTCCATTACTTCAGGAGGAGACATGCCCCACAGAGCTAATATCCTGGTAACAGAGGTGTTTGACACTGAACTTATAGGAGAAGGAGGCCTGGGGACATTCCACCATGCCCACCAAGTATTACTGGAGGTTAGTTGATAACTTGTGTTATATTGTGATTGAAGTATTTTATCGGTTGTGTGGTTCACTTGGGTGTTTTGACCCCCACCCCAAAGGAAAAAAAATAATAAAAAGGGTTTCTGACATTTTAGTTTTTAAAAGAAAGAAATGGGTATACATTTATGAGGTTTGGGATATAACATAATGAATTTACAACTATTTTGCGAGCAGGGCAATTCAGTAGGATAACTGGACAAAAAAGAAAAAGAAGAAACATATTTAAAACAGTACATGGGTACACTTAATTACGTTTCTTGGTTTTGGAGTATAAAGAATTTTGCCCCCCCCCCCCCCCAAAAAAAAAAAATATTAATACTAATAAAAATATTAATGACTTATAATTGATCTGGAATGTTAGTACTTGTGCTGAAGTTCAAGTTTGACATTTCTTTTGCCAGGATGACTGTACTGTCGTTCCAACCTCAGCTAATGTCTACGCACAAGTAGTTAACTCGGACTTTGTACGGAAATGGAACACCATTCAGCCTCTTGACATCCCTGGTCACATGACAATCCAACCACCGCAGGAAATCACAAAGTATGATGGAACAGCATCGTTACATGATCTCCAGCTAGATCAGATATCAACTGACCTTTTTCAGCCTATCACAGATCCAGTTTGTATATTCAGGTAATGTGGATTTTTTTCCTTTTTATAAACAAAATCATTTGTTGTGGTACAGGCCTGAAGGTGGGCTTAGGAAGGGGTTTTGGGGGTTTGAAAAACACTGGCCGTTTTGCCCAAAAAGGTCCACTCTTATTTAAAATTTGATCTAGGTTTTGTGGCCTTTCTCCATTTGGATTAATTGATGGGGCAAGAAGCTCCATTTTTTAGAAAAAATGCAGCTGCCATTTGACATTTATGTCTACAGGTTGTTAGTGGCTTAACATTTGGTTCTCTTTATGATATCTGTTTAGGCACAGTTCTCTATAATTGAAGTTTCATGTTTATTCATTTTTTTTTTTGAGTACTGTAAAATCAGTATACTGTAAGTTATTAATATTTTTTTCTTTTTCTGTTAAATAACAGGTTTGACTTCAGTGGGAAAACCAAAATAGAATTTCAAAGATGGATGTCAAAGTTGGTAGAAACTTTGGCAAGTGGAAGGTGTGATGCAATCTTTATGTGGTGGGACCTGCAAATGGATGTGGATGGGGATGTCTTGCTTAGCTGCGCCCCCAGGTGGGCTCACCCAGAACCACAGGCAATGCAGGTCAGTATAAGCTGTAAACCTGGATTGGTCTGCCCTGTCCACTTTATAGAAGCAATCTGAAATATCTGTGGATGGATGGATGGATTGGTGGCTTCCTTCGGTCAAAAATGACCATTGATATTGTAGCCTTTAGAATTTGTAGAGCATTTCTCTTCCTGGCTGCAGAAAAAGGAAATGAACATGGAAACCTCATTTTGTCTGACTTGTACTATTAAATAAGCAGTATTATGCATGTTTATAAAGTACATAAAATTATATTACTACTCAGTAAAGACCACATATATTATGATTCCAGTTTTAAAAACTCCAATACTTAATGCAGGCAGTACATGCACTCTGATGTGTTCCATTTGCACACAGAGAAAAAAGAACACATTTAAGTGCTGAGACAGCAATTTCTGATTTTAATTTCAGTGGCGGGACCACTGGATGCAGGCTATATTCTACCCATCAAATGTCTGTAATGTGGAGAAAGGGGGCCAGGTTTTAATACACAGTATACATGATGAGTACAGTTGGTGGTTTGATGTCAGGACACCAAATGAGTAAGGCCATGCTTGTAACCTGAGATACATAGGCCAGGACTCGTTTTGGACAAGACATTAGTTAGCATATGTGATTGTTTGGCCAAAAATTTTGTTTCTCAAAATTTTACATTAAAAAAAATAAGGTTGGTTGGATAGTTGTGCAGATAAGTAGGAAGTTTTGCTACCATTATCACTTCTCCTGAGGCTGCTGAAAAAGCTGATAGCAAAGATGCATAACTATTTTATGAAATGTTTTTAAAATCCAGAAATAAACAATTTTCCTTTGACTTTAAGTGTGACAAGCCTGACAAACTAAATTCATACCTGTGTCTTACAAGAAAAAAAGAAGTTAATGCATGTGTACCTTGTT